TAACACGGCCAACAAACAAGGGAGGGACAGGAACACGACCAAGATGTGCGTGCTTAGTTCTGCTGCCAGACTGGAAATAAAACTTCCAGCCACTGGAATGGCCAAAGCACGTTCYCTTTGTACTCACTGCACACTCAGAATCACATCTTTTGTGTTATCCTGGGAGTTCCCTTTAATATGATCTCCTCTTTTTGTTGTTTTAATTGAGTTATCCCTGGCGCATTTTAAGCCAATTCTGGTAAAGTAAAAGCAAAACCACAAACCACACTTCCACTCCAATGATGCCCTGGTGGAGATTCAGGCTCAAAAAGCAGCAAAGGGAGGATGGCCCAGGTGCCTCCCCAAAATCTGTGAGTGAATGGCCAGGAGGACAGGGCAGCTGGGGGAGGATCAGGGACGAGCATTTATGGCCAGGCTCCCAATTTAGGCTCTCCTGAGAGGGCTCTGAGCATGGCAGATCCAGCTGGAGGCTGATGACCCACCAGGGACAGTGCCAGCTCCCAGCAGGTGACACCAGGGCACAAGGACTCAGTGTGAGCAGGGCTGGCATGCCATGGGTGCCCCACCATCCCTCACCTCTCACATCACTCCCAAAGAGCAGCAGTGACCCAAACAGAGCAGGACGAGGGCCTTTCTGCCAGGGTGGCAGAACCCAGTGAGGCCAGCAGGAGGGGAGGTCACCTCGGAGCAAGGGACATCTCCCACCTCCACTCAGCTGTCAGGATATTTCTCATCCCACAGCCCGCTTTTGGGAAGCAAGGATCAATCTTTACCAGCTCTGAGAGCCAGCAGCCCCAGCAGCTCCTCCTGTGCCCCGTGAGGTTTCCTCTGCTGCCAGGATGCMGATGGAGATGATCCCAATTAAAGACACGGGGCTGTCACAATTTCAGCTGCACGAGGGAGATGAGAAAATGAACGGTGTCACCGAGTGTCTGCAGGAACAAATTTACAAACCTAATCACCTCCCAGCACAGCCAGGCTGCCAGTGCCTGAAGAAGGGTGATAGGGGACAAGAAAGCTTTTGGGACTCTTAAAGAATGTAAATTCACCCTAATAGGAATTGGATCTGTCCCTGCCTGTAATCAGCGGCAGAGCTGAGATTCTGAACTGGAATATTAATACAAGTGCTCAATKGGAGATGAAAACCTCTCAAAAACTCTCTCAAATGATGAGAATTAAACATCAGAAACGCAGCAGAGCAAACTGCAATGCAGTTGTGCTGGCGGGAGGAGTCTGCTGGAAGGGGAGGCTGAGRAATTCCATGGAAGATACCACAGCCACCTGGTAGTGCCCAGGAGAACGCATCTGTACTGACTGCTTCCTGACACACTCATTTGTCCTTCCAGGTACCCTCCCAAACTTGGGTGTGATCTCTGCTTCTCTTTAAAAAACAGGATAATTGGATTTTTAATCCAGGTTGATCAGGTCCAYCCTCCATGGCTTAAGAAGACCAATACATGGGAACAGGAAAGACTCTCTTATTGTGACAGCTGCTGTATTTTGTTTTTCTGTACTACTGATGTTATGGTTTGAGGGGTGGGGAATAGTTCTGACACTTCTTTTCCACGAGTATTGGGTATTTGGGATATGCAGGTTGGGATATTRCACTGCAAAAGAGCAGCATTTCCTGACAATAAAGTTGATGGGGAGCAGCTAACACTGAGAAGGGGACAGCCAAACGAAGGAAAAATGAGTTTTCACTTCCCTGAGGGCAAAAGGAAGGTGCTGGCAAGCCTTGCAGGAAAACACTTTCTGGAAAAGGGGACAAAGCAGGGCTCCAACAGGGACATGCACAGGTTGGGAAGCTCCACAGCAGCTGAGCCCCCAGTGACATGTGCTGTGTGTCCCACCCCAGCTGCTCTGTCGGWCTGGCATGGCTGATATTTGGAGGTTTGCTCAGCAAAAGACTTWCAGTGTTGCCACAGAGGTCCCAACAGTTCTGCAGAGCCGGGGCTGTGCCAGGAGGGAGCTGAGGCTGCCCTGACCTCCCTCCCTGAGCAGTGTCAGCAGCACCACAGGCACCAGGGGCTGCAGAGAATTCCCTGATTGCCAGCCCACATGGAATGCAGGGGGAAGAGAAGGATTGTGCCACACACACAGGGTGCCACAGGATTGTGCCACACACACACAGGGTGCCCCCAGCCCTCTGTGTCCCTCCACAGCCCAGACCTCTCCTTTGGCTTCAGCAGGAGTTTCCTGTTCCTCATTAGAGAGAAGTAAAGCCTCAGGGTCTTTGAGCTTCATAATTCACTTTGCAATTGAGGCACAGAGAGGTCAGACATGACCTGGAAGGCTCTGTGTCTCCTCCTGCTCTGCCCCACCAAAGCAAAGGTCCCACTCCTCACCCCACTCCCTGCCCGGCTCTGCCATGTCTGTCCTAAAGCGATCCATCAGTGCTCAGCTACTGATGAAAAGGGAGARATCACAGCATTTTTTAGTAAGACATTTTTGTAGCAAGCATGTCAGTTCCATATCAACTCTTCTTACACACAGCAGATGCACGGTAACAACTGCACACGACATTGCAGAGCATCGGCGGCTGAGGCTGCCAAAAAACAATGAAACACATTGAGAACGACTCTATTTTCCCCTGTCAYTTACATGACAGATCTCCTTAATTAACTGCTTTGCTGTCAGGGAAAATTAATGAATGAGAGAGAAATGGTCTTTCTTTGTTATTAGTACCTCTATTGCTTTCTAATCTATCAGGGTAATTTCGTKGTAATGGAAGTGAGGATTAAAAGCCCCAGCTGATGGAAGGGTGGGGACAAGCACTGAAGGGCCTTAGGAGAAGCTCCATAAGGAGATGGGACACGCTGGAGCACGGCTGGGCTTGGAGATGTGGTGCTGCAGAAAGGCAGAGTCTGGGAGAGGGAGGGAACCCTGCCTGGGGGTGCTGYGGGCAGCTCCCACCTTCTATCGAGGCAGCGGAGCCACAGGAGCGTCACCGCCCGCCCGAGGGGATCCCGGGCACGGCACTGGTCCGGCAGGGCAGGGGGTGAACGGGGATTGATGCTGGGACTGCGCTGAAAGGGGAACCAGGAGCCCGAGCTCGGGGCGCAGACCCCGCTGCCCGCGGAGCCCGGGCTGCCTGACCCCGCTGCTGCTGCCCCGGGGGACACGGGGACACCGTCACAGGAGGGTGACAGGGACACTGCTGGAGAGGAGGGTGACAGGGACACTGCCGGGGGAGGAGGGTGACAGGGACAGTGCCGAGAGAGGAGAGTGACAGGGACAGTGCCCGAGAGGAGGGTGACAGAGACACAGCCGGGGAAAGAGGGTGACAGGGACACTGCCGGGGAAAGAGGGTGACAGGGACACTGCCGGGGGAAGGAGGGTGACAGGGACACTGCCGGGGGAAGGAGGGTGACAGGGACACTCCCAGCCCGGGGAGGAGGGTGACATCTTTCCCGGCGGGGGAAAGATGCCGTGTGCGGGCAGCAGGCGGAGCTGGTGCCGCAGGGACGGGCAGGAGCGGCCCCGCAGCCCGGGACCCGCCCGGCGCCGCCGCGACACGCGAGGACAACAGAAAACCACGAACGTAACTGTAATAACAACAGTAATAACACGGATAACATAAAAAATAACCATAATAATAGTCTGGAATACTCTGCAAAGACCAAGAGGTGACGGGACAATGGAGGGAGTGACCRTCCCTGCACAGCCCGTGGAGGGGCTGGAGCTGCCGCGCTGTCCTCAGCACACGAGAACATTTCTGGATCGTGTTCCCGTCATAAACACAACATTTCTGAAAAATGTATTTTCCTCTGCCCAGTGGCTGCGTATTTGTACCGGGTACAGAGCACGGCACCAACACAGGTGAAGAGAATAAAAAGAAGAGGATAAAAAGAAGAGAATAAAAACTCCCACCCCAGACCCATCAGTGGAAATCTGGGAAGCTCTGCTGTGCTCATAGACCGTCTCAGGATTTACCAAGGCATCCATGAAAGCTGACAATTTGGCCCAGAATTCAGGAAAGAAGAATGCTTTCAGCACTTGCTTCCCCGAAAGAGCCGAGCTTGCCAGCTTCTGTTTAACACGAGGGCCGATGCTGTGATCTCGCTGACCGCTCGGTGTTTTCCTGGGTGGGCAGCGAGGGAGCACCCCCTGCCTTTGTGCTCGTATCCAGGCATCAGAGAGCGCTCCCGGCAACTCATCCCTCACGAAAAAAAAACCACTCTGCTCGCTTCGGAGGAGACAAAAGACACAATTCCTGTGCCAGGGGCTAAACAACAACAAAAAACCAACAGCACTCAGCTCTTCAGGCTGTGTTAAAGTGACCCCAGAGCGAGCTCTCCTGCTTCTTCTGAGCCCCGCTGCCCACTGCTCCCTCTCTCAGCACAAACCGTGTTCCGGTAAGAACACATTTCCTCCCTCCATCACCCAGACTGTGCCAGTGACCCAGGAGAAAAGCCTTTCCCTTCGGATGGGACTGTTCATCATCACCCCTTGTGAGCACAGCCGAGGCAGCATCTCTGGGAATGGGGTCACCCAATGGCTCACAGGGCACGACAAAATGTAGGGTGCCCACCGCCCCCAAAAAGTGCATCCCTCAAAATTCAAACCTTGGTTAGAGGGTGTGAGTCAATGCTGACCACCTTGGCTGCTGCCCATCCAGGTGTCCATCAGAGGAATCCACAGCTCGGTGTCCACAGCACCATTACCCCAGWGCTCACAGGCAGGGCAGAGCCATTCCCACCTGACTGCATCCTTTATACCAAGCCTGACACAYACCAAAGGTGAAAATCCCAGTGCATTTCCCTTCATTCAGCACTGTGGGGCCGTGATCCTGTAAGCACAGCTCGCCAAAGCCCCCCTCAGTTTCCCTCCAGGGCTGTTTTCCCCGGTGTGCTTTGCTGGGAGCAGCACGGGATGTTTGGGACACAGACCTTCAGCAGATCCTGCCAAATCGTGCTCCTAATCAGACTTTAAAAAAAAAAAAAAAAAGAAAAAAGAACCTGAAAGAAATGGCACAGGGTGCAAGGAAGAAAAAAAAAAAAAGAAAAAAGAACCTGAAAGAAATGGCACAGGGTGCAAGGAAGAGGTAGAAAATAGAGGCTGCAGAGATATGAAGAGTCTAGAAAATGTGAATCTTTGCCTCCCACCACTGAATCCATCCATGGAGAAATGTGCCCTCAGACCCACCACACCTGCCTGTGTAACACAGCATTTCTACAACGTGTATCCTGCACTTAAAATACATGGATTTTACATGCTCACTSTTACAAGCAGTATTTTCAGAGTTGTCTGCCTTTGACTTGAAGTCCTTCTCTTCCAGGATCCGTTGCAGGCAGGTGAAACTTGTACCATTGTCCCTTTCTTTTTTTAAATGATGGAACATTTCCCCCAGCCCACATATTGACCTTCTACCTCTTAAGCACCATTTTTCTTTTAGGTAAAATAGGATTATGCTAAACAGTCACTCTCAAGTACTTCTGGCATGAGAGAGTAGAGAGAAGGCTATGAAATCTTTCTTTRGGATGCTCTGATCCCCCTCCTCTCCCCGTGTGCCTCCTAGCCCGGGCACACAGCCCCTGCAAGCTCCTCTTGGCTGCTTCCCCACTGAYCAGACATTTCCCCAGCTCTGAAAAGCACTGGCTGTTTTTAGTGTGCCAGGGAAGATTAAATAATCACCCTTATAGATGTAAAATATCGCAGTATGACTCATTAAAAAGTCCACAATTTTTGCAGAGCTTGTGAAAAGCTGGGGGATGTTTGTAGGTGTCCAGTGAATGCAGTGTCCCTTCTGCAGCTTTCAGTCCCCAAAATGAAGGATTCATGAGCATCATTTGCAGGGCAGCACCAGCTGGGAGGGCCCAGAACGGGGATTGCCCTATACCCCCCACAGAATTTAGATATATTCAAGGGAGAAAACACCTTTTGTTGCACTGTTTGGAAGGTAAGTGTGATCAGATGTGGCTTTTCTTTGAATATTCTCACTCCTCCTTCATACTCTTCCCATGTCTTTCCCTCTGAGGTTCATTTAATCCTACTCGAGAAAGCTGATCAAGATGGGAGTTATTTCAGCATCTTTGCTGCAACATGACTTCATTTCTCCTGTCCTCTTCACTCTCCAGCATTCAGCAATTCCCTCCAAGACTCTTCACGTCTCTTGTCTTCTGTGAATTAAAACCCAGCTAGGATTGCCTGCTGATAACTGCACCCTGGTCTAACAAGGCCTGGCCTGTTGCTGTGTTTATTTTGTGAAGTGTCACACAAATAGGCAACAGCAGGATTTACTGGCGCTTCCCTTCAAGTGTGTGATTTTTGTGTGTACAGCGCTGAGTTGGAAAAAAAAAGGTCTCGCTAGAAATATTTTTCTTGAGAAATACTTAAAAGAACATTCTTATGTTTCAAATCTTGCATAAAATTGACAACATTGATAGATTTTAGATACCAGGGGAAGCAAGAAGCAACACAAAGGAAAATCAGCGTTAGCACAGTGACCATGCCACAGCCTTGTTCCAGGGTGTCCTGGCAAGGGATGGTGAGTGCCCTGGGCAGCTCAGGCTGGCTGCACCTTCCAAACCCATCTGAAGATGTCACTGTCTATTTATTGCGTSTGAGAACAGCTGTAGGAGTCATATGGCTCATTGTTTATTGCTCATTACACAGCTTACCCCTCACCTACTGAGCAYTGAAAAAAACCAAACCAAAACAACCTTCTGTACACACAGAACTATTTTCCCTGCTTTCCTGCATCCCCTTAGCATCTCTCCATGGTAAATTGGTGTCCACCTCAGTGACTGCGCTGCTGAGGTGTCCCAGCTGCAGAGGTGCACCCTGAGCAGCACCCAGGAGCGCTGTGCGGTACTTTGGGAAGGATGTGGCACGTTTGGGTCAGTCATATAAAGAATTCCTCCTTGTCGTGGGAAGGATGAGTCCATGTGGCACGTTTGGGTCAGTCATATAAAGAATTCCTCCTTGTCGTGGGAAGGATCAGTCCACGTGGCACGTTTGGGTCAGTCATATAAAGAATTCCTGCTCGTCGTCGTGCTCTCCGGGCGCGGGGCAGTCCCGCGGGGCTGGCGAGCGGCATTCCGGCTCTCCCGGCCCCATGGCCCCGCTCGGTGCGCTGGCAGCGCGGAGCCCCCGGGGCCGCTCCGGGCAGGGCAGGGCGCTGCTGGCCGGGGATGGCAGATGAGGGAGGCTGCTCCGCAGGGCCCCGCAGAAATGGCTCAGCGGGCAGCGGGCACTGCCCACGGCCATGCCGGTGTCCACGYTGGTCTCGGCTCCGCGCTGCTGGTCCGGGAGCGGAGCCCGCAGCATCCCGCYCTGCCTGCGGAGCGACGGCGCTTCCCAGCACGGCCGGGCTGCGGGGACACCGCCAGGGGGACACCGGGGACTCTGCTGCTCACTGCTGGCTTGCTCAGAGGCAGCGRTTTCACCTGGGTCAGATTTTGTCCTGCCCCTCAGAGCTCTGAGCTCCCGGCTTCTCCGTCCCCGCCTTACAGGGAGAGGGGCTGGGACACAGTCCTGCGGCATTTTCCCACTGCTCGTATTGCTGCGCTGCTGGGAAAACCCAATGTTCTTTTCAGGGGGCTTGGAGCTGCTTTGAACCTGTTGAAAATTAGAGAACCAGTTAATATCGTTTTATCTTGACCGGTGATGATGCTCTCACCCAGCCTAGCTGCCGCCTGCAGCTTGAGCCAGCACACCTGGGGAAGCCCTTGCCCAAGTGAGCTGTGGGTACAAAAAATCCACATGCATTCCAGGGGAACCTGGAAAAACACTTGGAAAAGAGAGCCACTGCCAGTTACCCCGATGGGCTTCAGGGGGGAATGACAACATCACACGGAGTCTGTGAGCAGAGCTTTGGATTTGTTTTGGAATGTGGCAGAGAGCTGGGGCAGGGRGTAAATTGCAGGTACATAGAATAAAGATTGACAGCATGAGCTGAAGAGCTGCAGAATAAAGCACTGGGCTGCCAGCCTGCTGTGTGGAGCCTGGACACAAGATCCATCCTCCAGTTCAAGTGGATTACACCTTCCTTTGTGAGGAGCACAGGGCAGCGTGGTCGCATCCCCAAAAAAGCTGTCAAATCTTCTGCCAGGGAATTCAGGTACATCTGCCAGCTCAAAGACCTTGTATCTACAGCAGGAAGAACCACAGAGTGATTTAGGAAGGGACTTTTGGAGGTCACCTGGCTCAGCTCCCTGCCCTGGGTAGGACCATCTTCAAAGCTACGTGGAGATAGCCAGGGCCTTGACCAGTCCGAGAGGGTGCARACTGGTTTATAAATGGATACTGAATCAGGCAGCAAGGGCTGCCCTGACATTAGTGCTCAGAGCAGCATAAAGATAAGCTGAACAGAGTAATTAGCTTTATCTGTAACAGAGGAGTTCTGGAAGGAAAAAGAAAAAGCACAGGATGGGCGAATAATTTAAAATCCAAATTACAAGGAAAAAACCCCAGAGGTGGGAGGGGTTGTTACAATGGAAAGAAAGCACACTGAGCTGAACTGCCATTGTGCTCACATGTGCTCATACTAATATCATCTCAGCACAGACTTTGTCTTCTTTTAAAATTTGTATTCATATAACCTCTGGACTGCACACTTAAACAGAAAATGCAGAGATTTCTTAAGACACATCTTTTTGTCACTTTGCCCAACTGCAACTCACTCGTGAGCTCACAACCTCTATTGCAGGCGGTGCTGTATCAACATTACACTTACAAACATTACACTTATCAACATTACACTTCTGGTTTTGGGTGCCAAAAATCTGCTTTGAAAAACATTTAGACAGCAATGAYTTATCAGAAAAAGATTAGGCTGCTACAATCATTTGTTTGAGGCAGAGGAGGGAGGATGTTAAGCTGGCGTGCCCTAGAAAGCATTAATAATCTCCATTTGAGGCAAGCAGTAATGATGTTAATTTAACAGTAGAAAAACATTCCAAGGATCAGCGCTTATATTTATCAACAGCATCACAGCACTGGCAGGCACCGATTACAGCATTCACAAATTCAAAAGAAAACACGAACAAACAAAATAATAATTTCCATTTTGAACCAATCCTGCTTTCCTTGAAAAAAAAAAAATTAAATAAACGCCCTCCTCTGAGAGCAGCACAGACACATACCTTGAGCAGAATGGTGTTTCCTTCATAGTCCTGTGTTTGCCACCTGGTGCTGCTGATGGGAACGCAGGGGTTGGGCAGGAGGGGCACCAGCTGCCCGATTTCCCTCACCTTGAACTGCAGGGCCGAGGAGCCCCTGGGCTCAGCAGCCACCCCGATGGGCAACTGCTTGAGGCAGAGCTGCACAGCCACGTGCGGGGTGGCGTGGAGCACAAACACACACAGGGTGCCCTTCTGCAGGGTGGCTTCYCTCTGCAGCAGCATCTCGTAGAGCCTCACCGCATCCTCGTAGTTATCGAAGCTGCAGTAGAGGGTGACCCGCAGGATCTCGGGGCCGCAGTGCACCCTCCTGATGCCCCACACGGGCAGCTGCTCGTCCAGCCCGTAGAAATCCTGGTGGGCTGGGGGATAGAGGGGGCTGTGCCCGTTAGTGAACTGGGCACGCTGGTACCGCCAGGGTGGGCGCTGGAACTGCTCGTGCACCTGGAAAATCCGATCTTCTCCCAAGTCTTCGTGCAGGAAAAGGAGGACGGATATTCCAGGAAAGCCGCAGCTCCTCTTGCAGTATCTCTCGTAGTATTTCAGGGGAGGAATTCGCTCAGACACCAGGAAAAGGCGAATGTCCAGGCAGAGCCACTCCAAAAGCCGATCCAGMGTTTGCTGCAGAAGAAATGAGTGTCCCAAATGGGCGAGGAGATGCACAGTCATCAGAGACTCTGCTCCATCAGCCATTGCAAAGGCTTCTGGCAAATACTAAAACAGACAAATAGGTGCCTTCCTTCTCTTCTTGGGGCCCCAGGAACACAAGGGTGCACTCTGAGACTTGAACAGACCGAGTTCAGACTTCTGATGGAACGAGCAGAGGCAGCAGGTGGAGAGTGACAAGGCTTGACGTGAGCATCCCAGGTGACATCCCAGCAGAACTCGGCTCAAGGCTCCTTCCCAGCTCCAGAGCTCTGCTCAGTGCACACACATCACCCAAGGGTCCAGGAACAGCTCTGTGTCCCCTGCTCGTGCCGTTCCCAGCACAGGACAGCAGAGATGAACAGCACTGGAGCACAGGCAGTGATTTTCCAGGATGGGAATGCTCACTTGTCTCTGGAAAAGCGGCCACTCYGGGTCCTTTTTCAGAGGCCGTGTGGCACTCGTGGCTCAAACCTGCAGCAAACTTTCTCATGGTCAGCAGGCTGGCTTTGGCTCATTGTGAAAAGCCTGTGATCTCTGGGAGTCCCACCCTTCTGGGGCACACAGATAAGCTGTTCTTTAAAGACAAGGAAGGAAAACAGAATAACAAAAGAATAAACCCAACCATGTGAATTCAACAGATAACAATAAGGGCAGATATAAATCAGGAAAGAGGAGCTTTGGGAAAAAGCCTGSACTCCTGGTTACACCCTTCACACCACAGGTAGCTTGCTGCCTAATGGGAARCCCAGTCCTGKTTTATTGTGGCCATAAAAGCTGGGYACCAGGCTTTCYATTTTCACTGCCCTCTTTGCTTCTTTTCCCTCCTTTTTTTCCCCTGAGATACCCATGTGATCCATAGCCTTAAGCAAAGTCCAAGGGTTTTTCCCTTGGTCCTTGGGTTCACATATTGGTACTTAATTTAACTTGCTGCAAAAGCTACAATAGGAGTGCTGAAAATCCACCTCTTTCCAGATCTCTTCYAGTGCCTGGACAGTAAATCACACTGTCCCTTCATCTCCCTGTTTGCCAGCCCAGGGGCAACACAATACAATTCAGGCCAAACCCACTTCCTACACAGAACTGCCCTCACTGCAGCCAGTGTTTAAATCAAAACTGGGGCCTCTGGTCATCTGTCCAGCTCCACCTAATTAAAAGCAGCACATCTCTCTCTGCTGACATGCCAGCTTCCCTCTCCAACAGCCAAGCACACAAAGCAGTGGTTCACTGTGCAGAAATCCCAGCACTAACAAGTCTGTTATTCAAACTCTGAACTATATTTTTAATATGACCCTGAATTTGTATTCAACTAATATCACCAAGGTTTAAAGGTACAAGCAGCAGYGCCTTGGTTTCCTTTATAGAGATCCCTCTCATTGACAGAAACTCACACTCATGCTTTAAAAGCTACACTGACACCTATGTACAGTAAAAATAAAAAAGACTGTCTAGAAAATGAGGAAAAATTATTTTGCACCCACCTGCAACACTTTGAGCAAGTAACAACGCTTTTGGGCAGGAGGCAAAAACAATATCCAGCCTTCAGACAATTGCAGGAAGAGAGTGAAGAGTGCAAGTGCTCAAAACATTAAAATGCTCTAGATGAGCTCTGAACAACACAGTTTCACTAAAATATGGAAAAGGAAATGATTCATCAACTCCTTGCTACAAGGCAGGGGCAGGCAGTCATCTGCCTTCCTGCCTGTGGAGAACAGGGGAATTTTGCTGCACAGGAAAACACCAAAGCCAAGCAAGTTCATCAGGGCTTGGTTTGTAGCTGGAAACAGCTCGCATGAGCAGCTTCACCCTGCTCCATCCCCAGGTGAGCATCCCTCGGGCTGCTGCTGCACCACAGCCCCAGCCCCTTCCCCCTTAGCTGGACCCCCACTCCTGCAGCTGCAGACTGCCACTGCCAGGGCAGAGAGAGGGAGGCAATGCTTTCCTTGTGCAGGGCCATCACTGCTGCTTCGTGCAGCTCCCGGCCCATCCCTGCTCCCACCTGCTGGATACAACCCCGAGGGAGCTGAACTGCTTTCCAGATGGGCCTTTGGAGCATCACCTGGCTTTACAACAGCCAACCCTCTGAGCCCGAGTCACAAAAAGGTGAAATCCTGAACCCCCAGCAACTGTTTCTTCTGTGCTTCCTAAGGAGGGTCAGGGAAATAATCTCATTTATGGAGAACAGCTTTAGGCCTGGTTCTCAGCTCTTCAGCAGCTCCAGGTCAGGAGAACCCATCAATCCTATAAGGAGCATGAGATGACCTGAACCTCAGCCTTCACCCTGATGGTCTCTCTTGGAGGAGGGCAGCCCTCTCACCCAGCCTGGGCACCTCTGCTCCTCTTCCACTCACTTTGATAACTAAATGTGCATGGGAAAAGCTGAAATCCAGGTTCCTCAGCCTTGGACAAGGGTGCTCTCATGCCCTCCCTTTTCTCCAGTTTATTGCCCCACCCCAAACCTTGGGATACAGCCAGGGTGCCACGGCCCCCACTGCCGCAGCATGGTGAGTTCAGACCCTTCACCCACTGCTCCTCTTAGGGGAAAAAGCTGCCACCAGAACCAAGTGCTGGCTTTTGCTGGATCTCCTGAGAAAAGCAAAGTGCTGATTTCACCCTGATCCCTGAATGAAGTGAGTCCTTGCCTTCCTCTCTGCTTCCCCTTCCCCCAGCTCTCCAGCCCGGCTGCCAAACGGAAAAGCACATTTTTCACAGTGACCTACTGAACATGCCAAGAAAGATTTCTTCAAGAGATTAGAAAAATAGCAGTTCAATCTCACGTGAAAAGTCACTTTGCTGAGGGGAGGAGGGGTGGATAATTCTGATATGGGACTCAAAAAAAAATTGGGGCCCCATTCTCACATGGCAGTGACTGGTAACACAGCACAATGTACAGAAAGCTSCTGGGGCACTCCAGCTGTGTGTAAGAGCAGGACAAAGAAGAACATTTGTGTTTAGCACTAAAACATCCACTGGAAAGCCCTGCACAAATTAAAGGCCAAATATAAACAACTAATAAACACTCAGAGAATACCCTCTGCTCCAAGTCTAAAATCCTACAGTGGAAAGGCATGGCATAATAATTAAAAATTCCTTCTCATAATGAATTCCTGAGTTGAGCCTAGTCCTCTGCACTGCTCAGAGCCCTTGGCTCCAGCTGACACCACCAAAACTGATGCTGCATCACAGGATTTAATAAGTTCATAGCAACATCTGTAAGGAAAGTACTTTACAAGGATTATTAGAAYGTAATTAACTTGAGAGAGACTGAGTATGAATTACCTAAGCACCTCAGGAGAAACCCTCATTAAATGCATGACTTGGGCTTCCTAATTTCTTTTTGAAACATTTTTTTTTTGTTTTACACCAATCTCAAGCTCTGCCTGTAACAAGGACAAAACTACTAAATGAAGCTGCTAGATGACAATTATACACAGCAGAGACAGGGCTGAGACAAAAATCAGGATTAAGGCATGACTTGAATACAAAAATCTTTTCAGAGTTTGCCTCTGGGTTCAAATGCCTTTACTCAAATTCATCATCACTTTGGAGGAGAGTAAAGACCAAATGACTGAAAAAGCAAACACCCATCCAACCTATTGCATTTATTTAAATAGACCTCTCTCCCAAGAGATTCTGGTTTCAAAGGTCTGTCAGCAGACACAGAAAATACAGAGAGCTCCAGCGCACACCGKGAGTCAGGATCCGAGCACACACACGCACCAAGAGGAAAAGGAAGCAGGAAYAGAGCTGGAAGGAGCAGAGGGAGCTGTCTCAGGCTGCAGCCTGTCCTACCTGGACCCGGAGCGGCCGCAGCGCTGCCCTGGGCTCTGCTGGAGCGCTCCGGCCGGGCAGCCCCGCGGCTGCRGCTCCTCCCAGGGACGGGACACGGCGCCTCCAGCTCCTGCCGGGGGAACGGGAGCCTGGAGCTGCACCAGGGACAGCTTCCAGCCTCGCAGGAGGCGAAATGTAAACTAAGGTGAGAGAGGCTGCTCCTGACACGGAGCCAGGGCAGCCGGGGAACAGGGATGCTCAGGAACAGGGATGCTCAGGAACAGGGATGCTCAGGAACAGGGATGCTCAGGAACAGGGATGCTCAGGAACAGGGGTGCTCAGGAACAGGGGTGCTCAGGAACAGGGATGCTCACCAACAGGGATGCTCGGGAAGGGGCAGAGGGACACCGGGATTGAAGCTCATCTGCCCTGCACTCCTGGTGGCTGCAGTAACGGTACAGCAAAGAAGTTATTTGCAGCTGACACAGCCTTCGGGGCAAATGCAAGCTGAAACAGCAGCACTGAGACAGATATGAGCATCCTGTCAGTAACAAATGTGTCTCAAAAAGACGCTGCATGTCCTTGGCTGGTTTTTTAGTCATCTCTCAGCAAATGTGGGCTGTGTGCCCTCAGCCAATTAAGGGGCACTTGCAAATAGTTCCATTCTTCCTCAGTTTTCAGTTTGTCTCAAATATTTAAAAAACTCCTAAAACACTCCACGCACTCAAACTCAAGATCTACGAAATGTAACGAGCCAATTGGAGGTTATAGCAGAAACAAGTGTTTGGTAAAAAAGTTYGCAGAATGGGTCAGGATGGGCYACAGTGGGGCATCTGGTCCAACCTCCCYGCTCAGGCAGGATCATCCCAGAGCACATGGCACAGGGCTGTGTCCAGACAGTTCTGGAATATCTGCAGTGAGGGAGACCCCACAGCTTYTCTGGGTAAGCTGTTCCAATGCTCAGTCACTGCCCAGTGCAGAAGCTCTTCCTCAGTTCAGGTGAAATTCCTGGGCACCAGTTCCTGCCGTTGCCTCCTGCCCTCTTGCTCCACACCACAGAGCAGAGCCTGGGCCATTCTCCTGACACCCTCCCTTCATTCCCTCACAGACMCTGATCAGATCCCCTCTCACCCATCTTGACACCGAACAGGCCCAGCTCTCTCAACCTTTCCTGCACTGACACAGCCAACATTCAGCACTGTCCCACGATGGCATCTTTGGGACCCTCTGCCCACGTCCCCAGTGTCAATCCACTTCCACACAAGTCACTGTAGGACGAGAGGGAACTCAGCTTGCCTACATGTGAATTTACGTTCCCAGCTTCAGGGACTAATTTCTGAAAGATTTAACCCAGCAATTTTTACATAAATTACACCTCAATTGAAAACCTTCCAG